GCAGCAGCAGAGAGGACGGCTCGTCGACCTCGAGAGAGATTCAAGCACACCTGCGGCCCTCAGCTTCTTCGTTCAGAAGGAGCACTAGATTGGCGAAAACACCGACGGAGGAGACCCCAACGACAAGTAATATGAAGAACTCATCTCAAAATAAGAAACACGAGAAGGACATGGGAAGGAGTGAGAAAGATATCTCCATAAGAGCGATAGTTGGAACCTTTAGGAAAATTAGCCCCGAATTGAGGGAGGCCTTTGTTCACCTGGAGGTGGTTATGGATGTTAGTCCCGCACTCTCAGGAAGCATCAACGAAAAGATGATCCAACTGACCACAGGGATCACGGATACCCCGAGCAGAGGAAACCCTGAGAGGCCCTCTCCTCGGATTGACTTGGCGGCCATCGGTGCCAGGACAGCTGATGAATCGGTAGATGCTGAGATGGACGTCGATGACTGGCGACGGAAGGAACCCATACCGACGGCATGGATTGTCGCAGAAGAATCGTGTGCGGAGCTTGCCCCACCAACTCCGTTTGTATAAATAGAGAAGGGAGCACTCAAGAAATCGGGAAGGCTGTTCGAGGGGCCATTCCGAGACTGATGATATCGGATGATCTGGAAGTAATCGCAGCGCTAAGAGGAAGAGAAAGTCGGCAATCATTGTCTCCAGGGACTCTGATGATGATTTCGAAACTCTGTCGCACAACCAAAAGAAACTGATGTACTCCAACATAGAAGGCATCGAGAAGAGAGACACACCCGATATTGGGGCTAAGACTCTCGGAGATGTGGACCGAGCTAGGGCGGTATTCAATAACTTAAAAGGTAGTATGAAAGGAGCAATGAAAACGAAAATTCATATGACCAAGCTAGCGGTTAAGGTTTTGGTGGACAGAGCTGCGGGCGGCGAGACGTCCCACTGGAGGGACGTCGCTTTGGAACAGCGGAAGGAGATCGAAGATCTGAAATCTGAATTAATAAAATTGAAAGCGCAGGTGTTACAGAATTACAAAAGAATAAGAAATCGCCGACTGATCCCCCGGCTAGGAAGAAACGACCGGGATTAACTGGTGAGATCATAAAGCCCACAATCAGGGATGTGGCTATTATGGACAAAAAGTACCGTTTGGTAAAACCGAGAGAACTGATGGCGGGAATTAAGAAACAGGAAAAAGCGCGCGGAATGTTGGATTTTGTGGATAGCATGGATGAACAAAGCTCCGCTTTTGGAGGTAGAGACCACCTTCGAGGAGCCAGGAGTATACTGAATAGGTATAGAGAAACGCTTATGGAAAGTGCAGGTAGGTCTGTGCAGTTAAGTGGTTCAGAGTCCCGCGATGAGAGGCATCTAAGGAATACTCGCAGGAGGGGACCTAGAGCGACCCTAAATAATACGGGCCGCTCACGAGTGATTACGAATGAAAGACCGGGCTCTATACCACTTGACAAGACCCTCCCGACAGGGGGGTCCCCTCGACCTAGAGGAGTCAGGCCTCCCAGGGCAGCAGCGATCACAATATTGTGCGGCGACGATATAACATATGCGGAGGCCATGGTGATGGCCAAGGATAGTATATCTTTGAAGGAGATCGGTATATCGAATATGAGGATCCGAAGAGCGGCCACTGGAGGACTAATCTTTGAAGTCACAGGAGAGGATCAAGCTAGAAAAGCCGACGAACTTGCTGATCAACTGAAAGAGGTATTTACACGAGCCGAAAAGAATGTGGTCATTAACAGACCGGTCAAGAGGTCAGAGATTATTATCAGCGGACTAGATGACTCAATCGTTTACGAGGACATTGAACGTGCACTTGCCACGATTAGCGGCGATAGTTATAACAACATTAAAATTGAAACTATTAGAACTGCTAGAGATGGACTTGGTGCGGTTTGGGTCTCCTGCCCAACAACCATAGCCGCAAGAATTACTGTTGACAATCAAATCAGAATAGGCTGGACGTGGGCCAGGATAAATTTACTCAAGAAACGACCCCTAAAGTATTTCAAGTGTACGGGTGTTTAGACTAAACTCAGTAAATGTCGTTACGCGAATTATTTTACATCGGCATATTATATTCAGACTCATATAACTCATATTATTAAACATGTGTGCTCGTTATCGATTTACTTTCAACGATTATTTCCGTCGACAATTATTCTATTCAAACCGCGCTTGTTACCGGTACCGACACTGTCAGAATTCATGATAGTGTTCTACCGATCAGCTGTTTACTTCGTGTCACAGGATGTATACATTCGCAACCTTTCCTTTGTTCTCGCGAAGCGAAGGATATCTCTCGATACGTGTGTGTACCTATCGCTTAACGATCAAATTCAGTTGACTTCGAATAAAGCTCAGCAGCACATCTCATTGTACATCGCTCTAATTCTCTATTCTTTTCGATACCTTCTGACTCCTCGTGATTGTTCGCGTATAATTCCGACATCACCAGCGGACCTGGTTTCCGATACCACTTTCCTTTCGCAATACTCACAACAATGGGTATTGGACATGTCAGACAGAGGTGTCCATCGGATATCGACAGATCCGGGTCATGTTTCAATTGCGGTGGAGCGGACCATCAGGCTAGGAACTGTCGAAATAGGGCGTGTTGCCCTGTGTGCAAGGAGAGAGGTTACCCATACGCTCACAGGGCTGGTAGCGACGCGTGCAGACCCACACGAAGGTTAGGTGGAGCGGTACGAAGGACCGCTGAGGAAAACCCTGAAGGATTTGCAGGGGAACTCCAAAATCAATATTGAAATGGCTACTTTTAAGTTGTGGCAAGCCAATCTAAATCATACTAGATCGGCATAAGATCTCTTCATCCATGAGATAAATGAGTGCAAAGTAGAGATTGGTGTACTTTCTGAACCATACTCCGTAGCGATACAAGACGGCAGATGGTTCGGTTCCGCGGAAAACCCACCTGGCGCAGCAGTGTACTGCCCGGAAGGAAGCTTGGATGTAGCCTTGTAAACAGAGGCTATGGTTTTGTTACAATCAAATATAGAGACGTCGCAATATGTAATGTATATCTCAGGCCTAGCCTAACCAACGAAGAATACTCGCGGGCGCTCTCGTCACTAGAGACGGCACTGAGACCATTACAAAGTGATAAACTTTTGATTCTGGGCGATTTCAATGCTCGATCTCGTTTATGGGACAAGGGTACCCCTAACTTAAAAGGGGATCTCATCATAGAATTCGCATCGTCTATGGACGCTAGATTACTTAACGTAGGGTTTACGGCTACCTATATAGGAATTGGTGGCGAATCGGTGGTTGACCTGTCCTGGTCTACGACAGCAGCCCTACCATTGATCAAGAAATGGGAGATCAAGAAAGAGGCGGTTATGTGTTCTGACCACAGACGGATTGAGTTGATAATTGGATCACGTATTAGTGGCGCTGAGGTAGCGGCCCGTAAAAACAAACATTTCCCTAGTTGGTCCGTCCGTAAAGTAGACATGGACATTTTCCGGGCAAGACTAGTCTTTGGCACCTGGACCGAGGTAGTAAACCGATGATTCAAAGACAGCAGTAGACAAGCTGGAAAGAATGTACAGAGCCGCCTTGGACATAGCCATGCCCAAGAAGGGCATAAATCATCGACAACCGACCTACTGGTGGTCGGATGAATTGGCGGTTTTACGCAGGGACTGCGTTAAACGCAGGCGAATACATGTGCCAAAAGGGGACACGACGAGGCGCATATATCGCGAAAAGAGAGAATTAGATCAATCGCTAAAAATATACAAGCAGCGAATCGCAAATGCGAAACAGAAGGCTTGGAGGGAACTCATTGACACGGTTAATTCGGATGTATGGGGGCTCCCGTATAAGCTTGTGATGGGAAAACTGAGGCCTGCAGCAACTCCGCTTACAGAGGCATTGGAATGTGACTTTGTTACTGAAATTATCAAAGAGCTTTTCTCACGCGGAAAAAGTAGAGAACCAATTAGGATGGATGTAGATTGGAACACTAAATTTGACGTCACCATGGAAGAAATGAAAGTCGTGGCCAGAAAGATGGGCAATAAAAACAAGACCCTCGGCCCCGACGGCCTGTGGAAGGGCCTTCTGAATAAAACATTAGATATAACGTGGAAATTATGGAGAAACTGTTTTCAGGAATAATTTAGGTTAACACTGATTAGAAAACCGGGTAAGCCAGATGGAATGGCTTCGTCAGGTCCATCTACCTCCTTAACGAAGGGGGCAAATTCTTCGAAAGGCTACTAACAAATAGGATTTATACGTTTCTAGAGGAAAATGAGGGTTTATCCCCCAACCAATTTGGATTTAGAACCAAAAGATCCACGAATGCAATATTCAAACTCAGGGAAATTGCAGATGGCGGTACCAGATCAGGCGGCGTTGTCGCGGCGGTTAGTCTAGACATAAAAAATGCATTCAATTCGATACCTTGGGGCGTAATCATGAACGCTATGACGCATAAAAACGTACCAGAGTACCTGATCAACGTAATTTCCAGCTACCTACACAATAGGCAGATTACCTATACAAATAGGAATCAAGAGTTTATTAAGTGTAACGTCAACAGAGGAGTGCCACAGGGATCGGTTCTTGGCCCCCTCCTCTGGAATATCGCATTTAACGAAATACTTAGGACAGAATTACCGGAGCAGTGCCAAGTGTTGGTCTATGCGGATGACACTTTAGTGGCCGTAAAAAGAGACAACATCGCCGAGGCAGTCTCATGCGTAGAGTTAGCTTCAGCTATGCTGGCAATGGAAATACGACGTATCGGCCTCACTATAGCTGCTAATAAGACGGAGGTGACTGTTTTCGTCCCTAGGAGAGTCCTACGGCCATTCCCCGTCATGACGATACAGGGAGAACTAGTTAAGGTAATGGACACTATGAAATACTTAGGACTATACCTGGACAGCAGATGGACACATGGACTTTCACCCATCATTTTCGCAGACTTGCAGCTAAAATAGACGCGATTACACACGCACTGGAAGACTAATGCCAAACTTAAGGGGATCACGCGAAGACAGAAGAAAGCTCCTCGCAGGAGTATTGAACTCCGTACTTCTCTACGGAGCACCAGCAAACGACGTTGAAAGTAATAAAGAGGTTACAACGACATTTAGGAGAACACAGGGTAGGATTGCCAAAATAGTAATTTGTGCATACCGAACGGTGGCATCCGAGGCAGCAACCATACTGGCAGGGATCATCCCGGCTGAAATCCTTGCGCAAAAATACAAGAGATTGTATCTGCGCATCAAGGAACTTCAGGAGCGCGGCGTCGTGCTTTCTACCAAGGCCAAAGAAGTCATGAAGACCCAAGCGACTGAACACGCCATCGCCACCTGGAGAGAAAGGAGCCAGAGAAGAGGCGGATACGGAAGAAGAGTTAGAGATGCGGTCGGACCCGATTTGGAAGGATAGTGTGGACGACACCATGGAAAAATTGACTTTCACATGACGCAGATCATCAGGGGACATGGATGCTTCAGTGAATACCTTCAATGAATCAGAAAGATTCGGACAACGAGATGTGCCCATTGCACTGGAAATGTTGATAACGCGAAGCACACATTGGAGGTATGCCCTGCATGGAACTTCGAAAGACAGGAGCTCTGCGAGATGATTGGACCAAGTTTGAACCTTTCCAATATAGTGCAAAAAATCTTAAGCGATAGCAAAAACTGGAACGCGTTTGCGAAATTTTGCGGATGCGTTATGCGTGCGAAGGAAAAGGCGGAAAGGGCCCGACAGGCGGCGGATCGGGCCCCTCTTTCCCCTCTTGCGGACACGGACGAGGGGTAGCCTCTGTCCGTGGGTTAGAGTACCGGACCGATTAGACCCGTGAATTAAATAGAGATACGAGCTGTACCGCAGCAGCTCGGCGCAATACCGAGAACCTATGTTAGGCTATACAGCAGCACGTGCCAAAGTAGAGGGCCGATGCTCATAGGACCGTCAGGTGCCTGAAGTAATGCTTTGGTAGTCCCGACGTTTAGGTTCGCGTAGTAGCGCAGGACAGGGGGAGTTTTTAGTTGGTAGGCGGACCTGGCGACGTGAATGGGCAAATAATGGTAGTGGACCCGGTGAGTAGTCTCATGGTGCGAGGGCGGGACCGGTCTTTCCTCTCCCTCTTGAAAGGAGGCCAGGAGCTGGTCCCTGCTTTAGCCCTTGGGAGAAAGTCGGACCTAGCCTGAGCCTCACCCGCCAGACGTGGTCTGAATCCAATACACCCATCGGACGCGGTAATGAGTGTCTTCCTCCAGATAGGTTCAAACTCCGTTAGGGAGGATTACCTATCTGAGAGGTTTACGAAGATTTTCTCCTTCTACGCAAAACAAAAAAAAGGCTAGCACAACTCAGATATGCAATATCATTCACATCGAAGCATTATGAACCCGAATTTTGGTTAAAAAATGGTTAGCGGGCGGTCGCGCTCAAGAGTAAAGTGCCCTTAATATCGCTATGCCGACGACACTGAGAGTTGTGCTGACTTGTGCTAGGCTAGCACAACTCCCCCCTCGTAGGACGCCACCTTGTCGTGGTGAGGGGGCTCTCCCTTGGGCCGTTCCCCGCAAGGGGTCGGTCCGGGGAGGAGGGTCTAAGAGCGTCCTGTACGGACTCCCTTCACTCGTGGAGGGAGTCTGTACACGGGTCCGGCACCCCAAGGGGCCCTCATCCCTTTTTGGGATGGCTCTCCAATGTGCCGGTAGGGGTTGGCGGCCCCGACTACAATCGCCCGGTGGCACGGCACCGTTAGGGGGAGTTTTCATCTCCCCTTTGTGCATGAGGTGGATACGGAGGTCACCCTCCGTGGTCGGCCGGTGCCCGTGGGGCCCTCCCCTCCCTCCTTGTGGGGTGGGGTGGTTCCCTCGGGGCCCGGCCGGCCGAAGTGCGTGACGCGAGGTTCGCCTCGCAGGCATGGCTACCCTTCGTCCGGATTCCCCCGGCGAAGAACGGCCACACGCCACGAGGAGTCCCCTAGGGAGAAATCCCATTGCAGGGGGACTCCTCCTTGGCTAGGTTGGGTCACGGGTCCGGCACCTCAAGGGATCCCCGTCCCTCTTCGGAGGGCGGGGGTCCTGGGGGAGCCGTTTTTCGGGACGGTTCTTCAATGTGCCGGTAGGGGTTGGCCGAAGTGAGTGACGCGAGGTTCGCCTCGCAGGCATGGCTACCCTTCGTCCGGATTCCCCCGGCGAAGAACGGCCACACGCCACGAGAGGTTCCCTCAGGGAGTAATCCCATTGCATGAGGGGACCTCTCATGAGGAATGAGTGTGCTAGTCTGTGCTAGTATGCGCTAGGGGCTACATCCGGCTTAACCGAACCCGCATGGCGCGCTCGCGTCGGGGCGCCTGCCCGTCTCGAGAGAGACCGTGCGGGGGCGCCGGCGGGACGCGTCGGGTCCTGTCCCGTCCCCCCTTGGTCGACTCGCTTCTCTTGGGAAGCGGGAATCGATCCAATGCACGGGCGGGCCACTGCCGTGTGGGAAAGGGGAAATGATTTAGTCGCACAATAGGATAGGAGTAACATAGGTTACTATGGATGCGAAGCGAGATACTCGTATACGATTGGGTGGATATCATCTGCGAGAACCGCATATACATATAGGTACAAATACGTTCTTAGGTACACATATATACATGTACACATATACATATACATGCACACACACACACACACACACACACACACACACACACACACACACACACTTTAACACATGTGATCATATTGAACACACATACGAGCGGCTGTGCGAGTGATAAAAACCACTACAGTAGCATGTGGGTTAGCGTCATGAGGGCGTTTTGCGTTTATATTCTCTATGCTACTGGAGAAGATCTTAAAGGAAGAGAAGGAAGGAGAAGAAAAGGAAGAAGGCGAACCGTGTAGTTGGTCGTCGAGCTATACGGCCGTAACTCTTCGCCGACAACCGCTATAACAAATGGAAATAGACAAGGATAACGAAAATGATGTGCAGGAATTCGGATGCCTGCAGCGGTTTCCCGGGGTTAGTGTCTCCGCCCCCGGGCGATCGACCTCTGAGGCTTCGGGCCCAGGGGACTCTTGCCAGGGGCTAATCGTGGAGTGGCCGACGGGCTCCACGGCGGATCATGTTACCGGCCGGAGAGAAGAGAGGAAAGAAGTAGGAAAAAAGATACCTCCTGAAGGAAAGGCCATCATGAGAACCAAGGATGGTGATACGGAACTAGGAAATACTATTTGGGAAGCTCCAAAGGAAATGATGCGGGAAGAAATAATACAGGTAAACTTACCTGCAACGATGGATCTACCGGAAACAGAAGATACCAATGTGATGAAAGACCCACTTCAGGAAGCTGATGCATTGGAACTATAAGACCTGAGGATCAATGTAACAAAACTCAGCTACAAAGGTGGTGGAACGAGTGACTCCTCGACCAGGGGAACTCGACCATCCAGACGAATAGCGAGTATCAAGGCCGAAAAAAAAATATACAAGAGAAAAGCAAAAAACCCACAATCATAAGCAATGTGAAAATGCCGACCGAATTTAGATTGAGGGTAAAAGATGGAGAGGTTATCAACTCTCCAGTAACTGACGAGAAAGCGAGACCTAGCTACACGGAGAATATACTCGCTAAAATTGATCTGACGGATAGATACTCGGATGCAAGTGGATCAACAGGGAAATCTTCACGCCTAGAAGATATCAGATCTACTGATATCAGATCTACTATGGAAAGTGAAGGAACAAATGATGGAGATATGTCCACGTCATCTTTTGAACAGGGTGGCATGGACAAATTACCTAGGAAGAGAGGCAGAAAGCCGAAGGGTAGCGCGGGCTATAAATCTCTGTCAAAGTCTAGCAGTAAACGATATGACTACGAGGATGATGTTTTGGATAGATTCGACTTTGTGGAAATTACTAAGAAACAAAGGAGAGGACAATCAAAACTTCCTATCTTAAAGAAGAGGAAGGGACTCGTACCCTGCGAACTTCCGGATGAGCTGAACGCGTCGCAGAAGACTGCTGTGGAAGACATCACTATGTACTTTCCAGAGATGACTCCTGGAATGATCATGATAGAAACGATGAGAGTTTTAAACGCAGCAGGTGAAGCGGAAAGGAAGAGTACGAACATGAAGGGAGATCTAAAAAAACGTGTTAAGATCGGAGTGAACGTCGCGAGAGTCGCTGTACAAAGACTTACGGCAGAACTACAGAAATATACGAACCCACAGGGAAATGATGATCCTGGCGGACGCCTACCGGGGAATTCACCCCTAGCTAGAGAAATCAACAAACTCCGACGGGAAATGAACGACATTAAAAAGGAGAGGGACTCCCTTTTTAAGAAAGAGCTAAAGACTCTTCAACAAGACATGGAGATAAGAAGCAGAAGAGATAGAATTCCCAAGGAGGCTACTCCTCCACGAACAAGAGCATGGATACAGGAGGAGGGATTGATACCGGAGTGGGAAACGCCTAAAAAGAGACGCCTAAAAACAGAAGACGCGATAGTGATTCGGAGGAAGAGCTTCCTCCGGCATATAGGCCGGTTTTAAAAGGAAGCAGGAAGCTGTTAGAAGATGTACCCCGAAAAAGGTTAATCAAAAAGGGCACATCGTTATAATCGAGGACGAAAATAGAAAGAAGAGAGAAACATCTTCCCCACCTCCTACTTCCATGGAAATGGTCACAGAGAAGACAGAAGGAGAACCTCTAACCGCGGTTACAGGAAGCGAAACGGAATACCGCACAACGAGAAAGAGGAAGAGGAAAGCCAGGAAGAGAGAATGGGAAACAGACGATAGAGAGAAACGCATAGTTCCCATCGTACGAGCCGAGAGAAAAAAACAGGTGCTGCGTGTGTGGCAGGACTGTACAGCCTTCTTTCAAACCTATGAATAAGGAAAGACAGAGGATCAGAAATCCAAGAACTGCTGCAGTAATGCTAAAATGTGATGAAGAAGGGCCGACGTATGCTGAAGTACTAGGATTTGCAAGAAAAAGCATAAACTTGCAGGATCTCGGTATCACGGATACTAAAATAAGACGGGCACAATCAGGAAGTATACTGATTGAAATACCCGGAGAAAATGCCGCCAGTAAAGCGGAGAATCTGAAGGAACGCCTAAACGCGGCATACCAAGATAGTGATCATTACGGTAAAGTCAATGTCATAAGGCCAAAAAGACGGGCTGAACTCAGAATTATTGACATTGATGAATTTGTGGAGATTGAGGAAGTCAAAAAGGCTGTTTCCGAATCTGGAGGAGTTTCTCTAACGGAAATAAGAACTGGCCCCTTAAGAAAAGGAAGGGGTGTGGGTACTATCTGGGTACAATGCCCAGTGGATTGTGCCAATAGGCTGAACAAAATGGGCAAAATCCGAATGGGATGGTCAGTGGCAAAAGTGATCCCACTAGCGAGAAGACGCTTACAGTGTTACAGGTGCCTCGCAGTGGGATACACTCGTATCAACTGTAGGAGTATAGTTGATAGATCGCATATGTGTTTTAATTGCGGAAAAGACGACGGACATGTAGCGTTCAGATACAAGGCACCACCGCGATGCCCGATTTGTCAATTTAGAGGTTTGAAAGCGGATCACAGAGCTGGGGCAGAAGGATGCATGCCATATAACGGCCCCGGAGGAAAAGTAAATGTGAGACAAACCGCTACTGGAGAAGAAACCGCAATGGAGACAGAGGCAGATCGGGATGCCTCTAATACTATACAGCCGGAAATGGATGACAACATTCACTCCATTGTCACGTAACATTGTGCAGGTGAACGTCAACCGTTCCAGACCCGCGCAGGATCTGATACAAAGAACCAGCGAGGAATATGAGCTAGGAATCGTGGTCATCTCCAAATCCCACTCAATACCGGACGATGGAAGATGGGTGGCTTCAAGCGACAGTCCGACATCAGCCGCCATTACATGGCAGTGGACAAGAAGCAACGACCCCTGCACATTGGCATGGAGGGACGAAAAACATGTAGCCGTAGAATGGGGAGAATTGACAGTTGTCAGTTGTTACCTCCCACCCAGCCTCGACATAGAGGAATATAAGGATGCTCTCCGAAAACTGGAACACCAAGTAAAGATGGCAAGACCCAAAGCATTAATGATAGCTGGTGACTTTAATGCTAGGTCGCCAGCATGGGATAGAGGAGAAGGTAATAGACGAGGACGAATCCTTTTGGACTGGATCGGAAAAATGGACCTTCAAATCCTGAATGACGGCATTTCATGGACATGCGTACATCCAAGAGGTAACTCATGCGTGGATATAACGCTTGTATCATCAAACGTTGCTCGAAGAGTGGAGAAATGGCGGGTCCTGGAAGAAGCAGAATCACTGTCGGACCATAGATACGTCCATATGTCACTCCTGACAACCGTGGTGGGACCGGTAACAAGAAACACCGCTCTTAAAGAGTTCCCCAGATGGGTTACGAAAAAAGTGAACGTCGACATGATGGAGGCTGCCGCTGAGATCGCCGTCTGGACCGGCATACAAGGCAATTTTAAAACGATGACCAAAAGAATAGACCGAATCATGACTGATATCTCGGACGTCTCTATGAGACGTAAGGGTTCCGCCAGTAGGCCCTCGACCTACTGGTGGAACGAGGAAATAGCGAAGATTAGGTCAAAGTGCAACTCATGTAGGCGCCAGCTTAAGAGAGAGCTCGAATTAGAAACACCCCCGAAATCCTAGAAAATGAGATATGGATGGAACTCAAGGAACAGAGGAAAAACTTAAGAAACGCGATTAGAAAATCCAAGACGCGGTTATGGCAGGAGTTGTTAGATACCCTGGACAAAGACCCATGGGGACTGCCATACCGGGTAGTCCTTAAAAAGCTCCAGTGCGGATCGGGATCTATCGTTGAGACGCTTCCACCTGGTCTGGTTGAAAGGATAGTCCGGACTTTATTTCCAACGGTTTCTAGAGAACCCAAAGAAGACTTGGAAGTTGAATGGAAGAACGAAGATGCCGTAACAACTTTAGAGGTGTCAGAGGCCATAGCCAGAATTAATAATGGTAAAGCACCAGGACCTGACGGTATTATGGGCAAAATTATTAAGGACACAGTGAACCAGCTAGCCCCTCTATGGGCGAAATGCTTCAATGAATGTTTGAAGGAGGGCCGATTCCCAAGAGATTGGAAGACTGCCAGGTTGGTGTTATTAAAGAAACCAGGCAAACCTGAGCATTCCCCATCCTCGTATAGGCCAATTTGTCTATTAAACGAGGCGGGGAAACTATTCGAAAGAATTATTGTAAGAAGACTCCAGGAACACCTTGAAGCAACGGATGGCATTTCGGACTGTCAATATGGATTTCGCGCCAATCGGTCAACTATCGATACGATTTGGAGACTCCGCGAGTGGGTTGATGACGGTATTCGGGGTGGGGACGTGATGTTTGCGATATCTTTTGATATCACAAACGCATTTAACACCTTGGTCAACAATAAAAGGCGCGCTCGAGGACAAAGAGGTACCAGAATACTTGCGTCGGATCATAGGCGATTACTTGAGCGACAGGACCTTAGTCTATGTAAATAGAAGGGACGAACTAGTCAGAGATGACGTGCGGCGTACCACAGGGTTCGGTGCTCGGACCGACCCTGTGGAACGTAGGCTATGACAGTGTTGTTAGGGCATCCTTACCTGCGGGGTGTACTACGTTATATTACGTGGATGATACTCTGCTGATGGTAACGGGAGCCACCTTTGAGGAGGCGAAAACTAGGGCCGAACTGGGGGCAATGTACATCATATCCCTCATAGAACGCTTAGGCCTAAGGGTATCTGTACCGAAAACAGAGGTTGTAGTGTTCGGGGCGGGCGGGGCGCCGGAATCCGAATAGGAGACGCAAACGTCCCGATTGGGTCCACCGTGAAGTACCTGGGACTTACCCTGGACTCGCGGTGGACCTTTAGGGAGCATTTCCGAAGGTTGCTATCTAAGGCAAGGAAAATGGAGGCGGCCATAAGCCGACTAACGGCAAACATAGGCGGACCGGGCGAGAGAAGAAGGAAGATTTACGCGTCTGTGGTCATGTTGGTGATCCAATATGGGTAACCGATATGGGCACAGACGGTGGCGAGGGACCGGTTGATCGTTCGGGACGTCGGCCGCCTAGAGCGCCAATTGGCCCTTAGAGTGATACGTGCATATAGGACGATCTCATACGATGCTGCGGCTCTGTTATCTCGGATAGTACCCTTTGTATATACTAGTAATAGACATAGGAGAGCATACTTACGTAGGCGCGCAATTGTTAACAGAGACGGATACATAACGCCGAAAGCATGCGACGATATTGCGGAACAGGAAGAAAGGCGAGCGATAAATAGATGGCGATGCGAGCTGGGGGAGCGGCCTCGTGGATATTCGGGAGAAGCGGTTCGCGAGGTGGCACTTTCGAGTCCTGGATGAACAGAATACATGGTAGTATCTCGTACAGGATGACTCAGGTGATCACCGGTCACGGTTGCTTTGAGTCATACCTGTGCGAGATAAATAGAAGAAATTCGCCTCTGTGCAGATACTGCAGAGCAACATCTGACACAAATATGTATACGCTTTTGTTCTACCCCTTCTGGGCAGAAGAGCCAAGGGAAATGCTGGAAAGGACGAATACAGATAGATCCTATAACGCAATCATAGGCACAGCGATGAGCTCCGCGGAGAATTGGGAAATCTTTTCCCGGTTCTGTGAAGATGTCATAAGGAGAAAGGAGGAGGATGAGCGCTCCTGGGAAAGGGGAACGGACCCACTGGGATACGCCCCTCTCCCTCATAGATCTCGATAACCCTGGGAAATAAGCAGGCATAGGTATGCATTTGGAGTAAATATAAATAATGTAAATATTGTACATAGTTAGTAAGTAAGAGGAATATAATTCCTTATCAGGGTGCAGGAGATAACGCTATATCCTTCCGATGCACCTCCGAGAAGTGAGAGCCCGAATAGTGTACCGGGAATAGTATTGTACAGGCGCGTAACGTTTCTGATAGACCGCGCACATTAGGAAGGCATGTACCGTTAGGTACCTTTAGAAGCAAAGTCCGTAGTATATAGGAGGTAGAGAGCGAACGCTCTATAAGCTAGGAGACCCTCGAAGAAATGCTAAGTAGCGAGTTCCGGGGCTCTCTCCTTACAGGCTA